TTTGCCTGCCGTTTTTGTGTACACACAAGCATTCATCAATGGTTCGGAAAGTGGCGCTGTACCTTAATAATATAAAGGCTTGTATTTGCGTGCATTTCCTGTTCGGAAAGTGGCAATGTACTGAGAGTGGAGGTGTCCTGAGATTAGCGCCTGCAGGCAGGCTCCATGGACCTGTCAGCTCCGGACTGCGCAAAATGCGTGCATGAAGCGCTACGTCATGAATGCATCTACCCTCGTGGGGGCGCGCTCATGTGATTGGCTTAGAATTGAGGAGACATCTGATTGGCTATAGATAGAAAAAAGTACAAGTACAAATCGGGTGAGCGTCAGGGGAGTCTCAAAAAACCCACACACGAATGCACAGCGATCCATGCACAGGAAGCGGTTTGTGTTTGCAGGTTCAGAGGTTTTAAACGGAAAACAAATTTGTGTCTATCAAAAATTTAAAACTTTTTTCTGTATTTGGATTTTATTTACATGTATATGAAACGGAACCCATTTGTGTGTGCATTGAAAAACACAAGTGTGGATCCGGAAATACAAGTGTGAATCCTTTTGCGGATCAGGAAATACAAGTGTGAATCCTTCTATGTGCATGAGTGTATTATGAGACTGTTCTGAGCCCATACTGTCCTGTCAGACTGTGAGAGATAACTACAGCTCAGTGAGGTAAGGGACTCTGTTTAGATAGTTAACTTTAGTCTAGTTATCTCAGTGGGTCTCAAACGGTTTGGTCACCATTTATGAGGATAAATGAAAAATAGTTATGAAATACTATGACAGTAAAACAAGAATACAGTTTTAAAGGGGAGTGATTTGTAAAATATCCAAAAAGAAAAAGAAAATCTGTTTACAGTTCTGTTTCATATGGGTGTTGAGAGATGTATCCTTAAATTCATTTTGTTCTAAAAATGCACCAGGTTGATGCATTTAAATTCAATATTTAAAAACAAATCTTCCCGGGGGAGCAGGCCCCCGGACCCCCCTAGAGGAGGTGAGGTGTCACCTATATGCCAGTCGCGGGTACACTGTGTATGTGCGTATTCCACTGTAGCGCCCAGTACATTAATGGGAAACCCTAGTTTGTACATGTTCAATACATTTGTAACACTGTACACATGAACGTTTCTTTTTTCGGTTCAGCATGACGGTACAAAGGGGCCTGGCTAGCAGCAGACGTTCAATTTAAAGCAGAATCAGCCTGTTTGGAACAGGGCTGCAAAAGAGGGGTATGAGCAGTATGAGGCATGGCTACAATGGGTGATCTGTTTGGTATTTTAAGCACAAAACTTGGCCCTACAATGTATTTTTCCAATATAGCATAATAGGTCCACTTTAAAGTAAAACAGCTTCTGTTATCACCGATCCAGGTGTGTAAATGATTCCAACTGAAAGACTAGTGAGTCACGGAACTGTTATTATGTCTCAGGGTTTATGTACTTTGTTCATAGTGTACTCAACTAAAGTTGTGTGTGTGCTGATATTTGTGTCTAGATGCAGCGGTGCCTCCCTGGGTCGGCTACAATGAGGAGGAGACAATCCAGCAGCAGATCCTCGCTTTGTCCGCTGTAAGAAAATACACTTGTGTCTGTGATATTATCCCTTTATATTTCAGAATCAGAATACCTTTATTCGTCCCACTGAGGTGAAATCTGCATACGTATTTAATACTCTGTGTGCAAACTGATCTCGCTTGCTGCTGATTTCTAGGACAAGAGGAACTTCCTGCGCGACCCTCCCGCTGGAGTTCAGTTCCACTTCGAGATGGAGCAGATGTATCCCATGGCTGCAGTGATGCTGGAGGAAGACCAGCTGCTCAACCGCATGCGCTTCGACCTGGTGCCTAAACAGTCAGTATTCTTCCACCCTTTTGCTTTTCTCCTCAGAACATATTTTTGTATTGTGTGCTAATTGAATCTCAAATGTCTGTTTTCATAATATATTATGTCACCACCCTAACAATAAGAAAGAAAATAAATCATTTTTAGTTATTAAGGTGATATAAAAAGTATATATGGTGCTGTTAGATTGACTCTAGAGTTCCCTTAAATACAGGAGCATGATTCGTACAGTGGAAGAGCAAACTTTTTTTGATGAAAATGCTTTTATTGAAAGTCTAAATGTCAAGAAATATGCATTGAAGCATGATATTTTATTTGACCAAAAGATGTTTGAAATTTAGAACAATTATAACATTTGTCTTTTTTCAATAGATTTATAATTTGGACTTTATAATGCTCTGGAGTGTTTGGAAATGTTCATCACATAAGTTGGTAACAATACTATGCAGCTACTACTGGAATCTCATTATACAAAAATACTGAATACTAATAAATCGGATTTGTTTGTGTCTGACAGTGTGAAGGAGGAGGCTTTCTGGAGGAATTATTTCTACCGGGTGTCTCTGGTTAAACAGTCGGCCCAGCTCACAGCGCTGGCAGCGCAGCAGCAGCAGAAGGACAGTGAGGACCGAGGGGCCGGGGTCTCACCTGAGGACGTCGTCTTAACAGGTATGCCTGTCATCCTATAGCTCATTCACACTGACCCCGGGCCTGCTCCCAAATAGCTGTACGCCTGGAATTGTTTGCTCTCCCTGTAGGGATGTATCAGCTTGATGCATTAGACTCAATAACATTTATATGCATTGTGTTTTCGTCAGAGTTTTTAATCTAAATATATCCTTTATTTAACCAGGTAAAAGTCTCATTGAGACTAAGATCTCTTTTTCAAGAGCGACCTGGCCAAGAGGGCAGCCTGAACAATGTTACAAAAAATGAACACAAAACAATACAGGCCGACAAATAAAGCGGTTGTAAAACACAAATGAAATGGCACATTAACCAGTCAATATGCAAATAAAAGAAACTATTATAAAATGTAAAAAACTGGCACAATAAAACGTTTAAAACGTCCCGCCCTGAAAAATACCCAATTCTGAACTTAGAGATGTCTGCCCTCTCTCTAATATAATGAAAGTAGTGGGCAAAAAATATACATCTTAACAACTAGGACATTTTTTCTTTCTACCATTTCACCGCCCAAAAGTAAGCAATCTGCTAATTATGGGTTAGGGGCTCTGAACAGCGAGATATCAACATTAACAACTTCCCCCTCGCTGTAATGTAAGCTAGCTCACGTACACACTTCCTTCTGTGCAGCTTTATGCAGGGTGTAGTCTGGTAGAAAGAACAACAAGGTTAGGGGATTATCTTGAGTTACTGGGGTCATGATTTCGGTTCAGACACATTGAAGTTGGGTTTTTGAATATGTTGTCTTTTGGAACTTTGAGCACCACATTAAGAGTAACATTTGTACCGCTAACACTCAGCCACCAACAACAAAGCAATCTTGAGCAATAAATATCACTACAGGAAAGACACTTTTTTGAGCTGTCCCTTTTTAAGTGGTGTCTCGCCTTGGCCTATCATAGCTATTTGTACAAAGTGTTCAGTACTTCAAACATGCTCCTATGCATGAACCTGATATCCTCCCCAGCACTTCTATCAGTACTCCAAATCTAGTTGTTAGAAAAGTTGATGAAACATAGTGGCATGTTCAGGTAGTTGCGCCTTTTTTTCAAGTCACTGGGTAGAATGTTAGCTAGCATCCAAATATGTACATAAGACACGAGGTATGCTGTGGTGCGCACATTCGCTTATGAATACCAGTTCAAATGTGGCTAATAGAAAATGAATTCCTGCCCAAGGCGCACACTTATTGCACTCCTTTGTTGCGTTAACTAGCACACATTAGTTTGAACTTCAAAACAGAGTATGTGGTCAAATAGAATATTCTGCTTTGTCCCCCAATGACTTCACAGATTGGTTACCGCAAACATTTCTGTTGCATGTGCTCTTGTTTAATTCATATCAGCGCGTGGATTTCTGCGTTGATGTGTGCTGGGAGTTTTTTTTATACTCTTGGGAAAGCAGATAGAGATCTGATTGGATGCCTAGAGGCGTACAAAAATACAATTGATTAGGTCTGGTATGGCAAAGAATTATGTTAAGGAGGTTTGTGTGTATTAGTGTAAGTCATGAGAATAAGAAATCTTCAGTTGTTTCCATTCATTGACTATTTACGCATATTCAGCTTGTCATTAGTGTTAATGACATTTTTGCTAAAGCGTTCCTCAGAGAGGCATCTGGTGACACACCACATTTAACAGCACTGTGTTGTGTTTTGCAGACAACGCCAGACCAAAAACTCCACCAGTTTCCATCAAAAACACACAGGAGGTAAGACAACTCAAATAAAAACGTCTGGGTTTGTAACATTTTACAATACCAAAATGCATATAATGATACGTTCTTCCATCATTGTAAAACTTAACAGAGTAGTACAGTGGGTTGTCTTCTCTTACTCTCAGCCAGCACACGAGGAAGAGGAGGAGATGTCGATGAGTCCCGGGGTGTCCGAGTTTGTGAGCGACGCTTTCGACTCGACAGGCATCGACCAGGAGGATCTGCGGAAAGAGATGGAGCAGCTGGTGCTGGACAAGAAGGACAGCCCCCAGTCCCTCGATGGTTGGTATTAATACATTACAATACATGTGTTAATTAATACATTCTCCACGGGTTCTTCAGACAAATGTTGTCTGTTACAAACTGGCACCCAATAGGGGGACAACAAGACTTTTATGCATAATAGTAGGGTTAGCGGTTAAATCCAAACCCCTGTAGTGAAGATGTCGGCATGCCCTTGGGCACTTGGTAAGTTGCTTTGGATAAAAGCGTCAGCCAGAAAACATGTCGTCATTGGACCGGTTGTACTTTTTCGTGAACCCAGCGTTTGTCTCTTTGCCCATATAGCAGTCAGTTTTGCCCTCCCTCGCGAAGTGCTTTGGTAGCGTGCCAAATGCACTTTTGCTCAATTTGTGGCCACGCTCTCTTCTGTGCATTTTTTTCTTACTTGGGAATGAGGTGGGATCAGAAACAGGGCATTTGTTTTGGTGCATTAAATGTTGTGGCAATCACGGCGAGTTTAATTAACTCCCTTTAATCCCAGAGTCTCCCCTTCTTGACGCACACATTTTGGGAGTTGTGGATCGAGCAACTGCATGTCTGCTAGCGTATTTAAAAAAACATTCAGTCGCTACCCAGTGTTTAGGGTAGAGGCAGCAGGTGAAAGATTGAGAGGAATGAACAGGGAGGAGTTGTAAAAACGTATAATATTTTCTTGGAGCCGTATAAACTGTTATTTCAATGCATTCTTCTCAACACACCTGTTTAATTGTAGGAATGTAGAAACATCAAGTGTCAAAGTGCACATAAGCACAGGGTGTTAACATGTCATTTTACAACAGTCTGGTGCTGATAGCACAACATTTATTTAGTGCAGCTTAACAGTGTGCAACATAGCTGCACCAGTGTAAAGGAAAGGCCTTCAGCAGACTATCGTAGGGACCAGAGAACTAAAAGGTTGCTATTAACATTTTGATAAGAACACTTTTAAGTGCCTGCAAGATGTTCTTGGGATATGGAGACTATCAAATATATATGCTTTTCGCAAAAATATTTAAACAATAACATTTTTAAAGAATAATTATCTATGTGAGGGTGAGGAATGTATTTTGGTTTGTCACTATCACTATGCAGCTGTTGGTCGAGGCTGCACATGTGTAGACTCCGCGGTCTTAAAATCCCCACAATGCTTTGCGCACGGACCAATTTACCCAAATCTGTGGGGGGAAATGGTAGGCGGGGCCTCTCATATGACGCACACCTGCACACTTGCTCGCCTGTTCCACTCTTCTTTTCCGACATGCCAGAAGTATTCTTGCCTCGCTTCTTGAAGGAAGTGACTCGGAAGACATGTGCTACAAAGCAAGCGTACTCAACATTGAGAAACACCCCCTGTCCCTATCAAGCCACTTTAGAGAATGGAAAACAACATTCACTGATTGTATTCAGTGTTATTAAATTGTGTACTAAATAATTGTCTTCCTTTTTTGCATATTCAGAAGAGACAGCGGACTGGGAGAAGGAGCTGCAGCAGGAGCTCCAGGAGTACGAGGTGGTGTCGGAGTCAGAAAACAGAGACGAGCAGTGGGATCAGGAGATCGAGAAGATGCTCCAGGCCGACGAAAGCTAGACCAACCCCACGAGTCTGTGTCCTGTTCGGTGGTCTGGCCAGCAATGGAGGAATAAGTGACCATTGCTGCACGGGGGGGGATGAACTTCTACAATGTGCTCCAGCCAACTGTGATTACTATGTTGTAAACATCCTTTTCCAGCTAATGAAGGTGTAGATCCTATAAAGTGCAAGAGAGTGTCACCTCTGCAGGAAACAGTGCAGGCATTCGTAGTAAGTGCTTCTTCACTTCTCCTTCCTACCTTACTTTTATCTACTCACTTTCCTCAACTTTCCTTTTTTTTTGTCAAGGGAAAGCCGCTAGAGGGCGCTCCAGTACAACATTTCTATAATGGAGGTTGCTTAAAAAGACAAAACGTGTATTTCGATTTCCACAGCGTCTTTCTGGGTGGGTTGTACAGCAAGGTCTTGGTAGAGTTATAGTACAGTAAAGTCAAATGTAAAGTTACATTTATGTAAATATAGAGGATTCTAATACTATAGTCAAGATGCATTCCCCACCATTACATCTGCTTATTTTACATTTTGTATGGCATACTCCTGTGTGTACGTCTGCTTTTCTTTGTTTCTCTACAACTGAAATACTGTACGTGTATTAAATGTCATCCTTTAATAAACTTAAATCTATTATTATGAAATAAATGGAGTATTCAAATGTACTTTTTACTGTCACACATCTACACAGCACAACACACAGTGTCATTTAGACTGCATTTAACCTAATGTAGTCTTAAAAGCCGGGGAGCAATCTCCCCCTTCAGGTGTATTCATTGGCTCAATGTAATGTTGTAATGTTGAGACATACCACAAAGCTAAAGGCTACAAACCTTTCACACTACCACTTCCTCATTTCCTGTCTGCTCTTTGATAGTAGAATGTAATACAATCTGAAACCATAACAATAAGTCAAAAAAAACATCGCTGTTATAGGCTTGACATCGAGTAGTGTAATCATGACAACGCAACCACGACAAAGCTACGGCCGTGTTTATGTTTAATGTCCCTACCTAGCCACTGGTTAGCTATGACTTTCTCAAAATCTCTTATGCTTGAGTTAACCCCAGACTTGATTCAGTCATCTAACCAAAACCCATCAAAACGATTGATTTCGAGACAAGACTTGAATTTAGGACTCATTCCTGCAATACACTATTCAAATCTGGCTGGGGCTTTCTTGCAATTTCCTGTCTGCTCTTTGCTATGTATGATGTAATATAGTATATGTTTGAAAAAATGTAATAAAAACATTATTGTTTATCTTCCTCATTGGTGTCACCCTCACATTGCAGATGCAGTGGAGATATTAAATGTTTTACTCATGGAAATGTCAGTAATGGTCATCCCTTTAGGTCATGGCAGTCTCTTTAGCTTCCGTAGAGGAAAGTAGTTGAGTAGATGCTCCCTCCAGTCAAAGTCCCATTCTGTATATGACTTCAACGATGCAGCGTCTGACATTTCATATAAGGTTTCCATGAACAAACAGTACCATTCCAGCTGAACTGGAGGTGGAGCTCAGGGCAGAGTGCGAGAAGAAAGCCAGTCAAGTGAGTGAGTAAGTAAGAGTGGAATGATGGAAAAGGACACCTTAGTGTTTTGGTAGTAAAAAGAGTCTGTAATCAAGTTAGTAAATGAGACATAGCTGTGCTTGTGCCAACCAAGCAGACAGACAGACGTGTCCGTGCATGCCCTGTATACGTTTCTGTGGAACAGTGGGAAACAGATGGTACGCTGTCTGGAGCTCCAACACTACTCCCACCTCGATTAGATTAAATTAATGGAAGAGTAAATACTCATTTGAGACTGGCAATCAATACAAAGATCAATATGCTAATGCAGGCAGTGCTTTCTCTCCCCTCCTCTGGTTTCAGGTGCGTGTCCGAGCATATAATAGGAAAAAGGGAATTAATGAATAAACCTTCATGCGGCATGACCTGATCTCTCTTTGTTGGTGTCAGTCTTTTTCATACATCACCCCCATCACAGCCAGGGTCCACCAGCTGGTCTCTAGAACTAGGGGTAACTAGTGACTGTAACCATGGTGACAAAGCCCTGCAGATGAGGACCCATGTGTGTGGTTTATTGCTTGTGAGTGGGGTTTAACAATGTTTTAATAATGCATAAAGACAGGCCTGTGTGTGTGTGTGTGTGTGTGTGTGTGTGTGTGTGTGTTTGTTTGTTTGTTTGTGTATCTCACATAGCCTTCAGGTTTTCTTGTCTGTATGCCAGACAAAGAGACAGAGTAGCCTACACAGTGATGATAGATAATCGTGTTGTTGAAACAAACAGATGAATGAATGTGTTTCTTGTATTGCATGCATTATACTGTTAGAGACATAAATAATCTTGAACTGCTAAACCAATTGTTTTAAATGTTTAGAATTTTACAACAATGGCCTATATCACTCTCTATAGCTTGCCAGGATACAAGAGGGAAGGAATGTTCTTAAAATAGGGGAGTTTTAAAGAAAAGGATATAGGGTGGGACAGAAGAAAGGGAAAGCATAAAAGGTGCTGGACTGTGACGGGTGAGGGTGAACATAGGGGAGAGAGGACAAGGGGGGAGTTAGAGATGCAGTAAAGGAGCTGCATGGTGGCTCAGACTACCTGCCACTCATACAACAAGCTACATTTCAATATGTTGCTGTGTGAAGCCCCAAAGAATATTTCGGTAGTTAATTTTTTTATAACATTAGGTGAATTAGGTGGAAAACTGGAGTGTTGATATCAATTACTGAACAATCTGTCATAATCATAATTTGTACTTCCAATGGCACAAAGACAACTTAGTCCACGGCTCCCAACCTTGTTTCTAATATGTAGTTATTAATAGCCCTGAAAACTCTCCAGAGAGGACTATCTGCATTTCTTGTGATTGTTTTCGTCCTACCAGGTGTCAAATTGGAGAGTAAATACAAATTACAGAACAAACCAATGTAAAAATAGATGTCTGAAATATTAAAATAATAGGAAGCTATATATTTCCCAGGTGGAAGTGCTGTAATGAATAAGGTTACTGTTCACAATAAGGTTTTTGTTTTGGCTACAGGAGCAAAAGATAAGTACCAACTCTTACACAAACATAATTACTAAGTAACCATGAAAGGCTATTATATTTTTAATTTCATACACATCTTGCTTCTGACATGTAAGTATAGATAATTACTTAAAGCTACAAGTTTTTAACTAGTTTTGAGTCTTAATTATTGCTGATACCTTATGACCTACATGCGCAAACAGGACCATGAGCAATATGATTCGTTAAAACTGAGTTATCTTTAATGCTTGTCAATATCAGACAAAACTATTTACATAATGCAGACAAGTAAAGTATATGCAATGGAATGTAATACGTGTATTTTATTTATGAAATACAGTGCAAACGTGGTTTTACACCAAAATGAATGTACGTTGGAGGCTAAGAAAATCTATCTTTGGTTGAATGTAGCTTACGTTAGCTGCATTTGTCGCGCAGAGCAAGCAACGCAAAGATTTCTGTGATTATACTGTAAGCATGATGCCAACATGCAACAGATAATAGTTAATTATGCATCCTGCAAATAACGGTGTTAAAAATAAATTGCATATTTTAACATTAGGTTCTGAAACAAATGCGCAGGCTAGCCAAGATCTAGTCCTTTACAACACTTGGCGGTGGTGCTCATGGGAAATGCAGTCTTTATTCCTGTTTTTGTCCTCAAGTGACACAGGTCAGTCAGACTAAAGATTAAGTGTCCACGATTTCCTGTCGTTAAACTCAGGATGACCTGAAAAGACAGAGGTCTGATTTATGCTTGTTAGCTTATCTTTGCTAGCCTGGATGTTAAGTATAACTGAAGTTCAACTTTGACAAAAAAGTACACATTTTAAAGGTCCTGCTCAAAAGCTTTTTTTTTATTACTTAATTTACATTTTACATCCTAAATGTACCTTCTGATACATACACTTAAATATAGTTCGACTTCAACCTAGTCTGTTGTCTATATAAGATTGAAATCCTGACAGTTTCGTTTCCAAGATCCTTGGCACCTCTTGGGCTAAACTTGGTAAAGATTATTTTAACATGAGTTTGCTCCGTCTAAAGAGAGCTATTCTGGGACTTAAAGACACCTGAGGGGCCTCAGGGATCTATAACTACACTGCAGTTCCTCCTTTAGGCTTAAGGGGTTCTTTTTTATCAGCCCTTCAATGAATACTCCAACAAGCCCCTGTCCTTTGAATGAAGCACTTAGCTCGGATGTCAAATGTTTTCATTACAGATCAGAATAATCTTTGCTTTCAGATGTCAGTGACCTAAATCAGGTCCTGCATGCTATCAGGTGAGCATTAGCTAATACCACAACAACCTTTACGATCGAGCATTTCTATCCACCTTTTTTATGCACATTTTCTACTTGGGTATAGAATCACCTATTGAAAACAAAAATTCTAGAAGAATCATGAAATCTCACCAAAAAGTATTTTGTCTTGGCAAAACGCAGTGCAATCAAAAATAGGTTTGGCAAACAAATGATGACATGCATGAAGCATGTAACTTCGGTGTCCACTATAGATGGAAACGAGTATGCATTTGCAATTATATTTTTCCATTTTCTTGAAATTCGATTAAAATTTGCCCTAGATTTGGATGTGAACCTGGCTTAATGAACCATGAAATGAACAGAGAAAAAATAGGACCCAAAGACACCCGTTGCAGCAAAAGTGATGGTTAATTTGTCCAGGAAAACCTAAATGAAATATCATTATCTTTAGACTAATGTGAACGGTTCCACTAATCAATATCTGAAACGAATGAAACTTGGAAAACTCAGAGGATAGAAGTGTGAATTCTAGTGACAGGTGTAGAGCTGGTTTAAACCCTGTAATGCTGTTTTTTTCATGGCGAATGCTGCCTTTCGCTTATATGAGCGTGCTGTAAAGTCATTTAAACTAAAGAAGGGGTAGCCCTGAGACCCCAAAAGGCTCTCACTATTGTTGGTGAACTTAACAAGAAAAGGTTTCTGTTAGCGGCCTGCATCCTGAAAACAGAGGCATGTGTTTTGGAAAATGTGCCCCGTAAGATTGCAACTGAGATACTTATCCAATGCTCAATCAAAGTCTTCGTAAATCCATGTAAGTAAAAGTTTGGTGTAAATGGTTGGGTAAGAACAGGTAAAAGTAAAGACATGCAGTCGAATAGTCCATTTAGCTTAGGAACCTTCCTAATGGAGTGAAATGACCCGGAAGTCCCTCAGTGGTAATATGAATATGGATAATGTCAAAATTCAATTTTGAAATAGGAAAATTATTTGTTAAAAATATGTCTTGCAAAAGTGTGTTGTTGTTGACAGCGTTGGTACTTACAAGTCAGGTAAAATAACGTGTTTCGCAGTGCACAATGTTTCATTGTTCTCACCTCGGGCAGTGTCTCACTCTGAGAAGGTGTGTGCTTCCCTTCACTGGGTGGCTTATTTGCTCTATCACACATAAGAACACACATTCATAGACAGAGCCCTGCTTTTACAACAAGTGATATTTGTCCCAAAATAACATGTATTGGCACGACGGATTAAGACAATTGTGTATGGGTATTATCCTTTACTGGTTGCTGGTAGGAAACTATAATTACAGGGTTTAAGATCATCTACTAAGTGAATGTATCACAAAGTGCTGTTTTATTTCCTTTAAGGTCAACAGTAGTGTCACGTTCAGACAGTCTTTCTATTGACCATATTTGGAGTTTTTGACAGGAGGAGGAAACAAGGTCTAATATACAAGCTATTGGGTGCTGCTGACAAGCATGCAGAAAAAAGATCAGCTCTGCTACACCTTACTGTGTTACCAGCAGGCCTACTAGTTAATCTATTAAGGAAGGGCCTCAGTCACGCAGACTGCTATGGTTTTTACATGGAGATTGATGATAAGATAACTAACTGCAGGCTTGTGATTGGCTGGCTCTTTCTCATGCTTCTGCTTCTATCTGTTTATTCTTTCTCTCCGGTAACTGTCACCAACCTCTCGTCTGTCCGCACAAATCTCGCAGCAGATCTTTTACGTCATAAATTGTCTCTATAGTCTTTGACTCTGATTGTAGTCCCTAACCATGCACACATACAGAATATTCAACTATTCAACTACTTCTAAAAAGAATATTTTCTTATATTGAATGTCACATTTTTCCATTAAGACTTAGGATGTAAAAATATTAAAATGTTTTGGACAACTTTGGATTATACATATAATTCCTGTATATCTCTTCAATGTTTACACTCAGCTCTGTGCATTG